AACCATACAAATCTGAGATTTTGTTTTTACCTGTCAATGCTATTCCTCCCTTTCTCTAGTTGTTGTTGCTGCTCCATGGCATTACTTGGTTTCTCAGACCCATCAACGCTTTTTCTCGTTCTCTCTCGCTTATCAACACTCTCCCTCGCTTTATCCTTACCCTCTATAGTCAGTTTCTGCATTTCTCTTTGATCCGTGCTTGTTCTTGATTTCTCTCTTTGGTCTGTGCTTGGCCTTGCAGGTTCTCTAATATCCGTACTGCTCCTGGCCTTCTCTGTCTGCAGCACAGATCCGTTTCTAAGATGAGGTGATTTTTCAATAGCCGATACAAACTTCCTTAGATGCTTTATGTATTGTGGGTATAGCTCTAAATCGCAATGGTTTCCTCCTTTGATCCAAAGCGGTTCATATTTTTCTTTGCAGAGATCGAATAATTGCTTCCCATGGGACCAATTAACAACATCATCTGATGTCCCCTGCACACCCCCGGAAGCCTCGGATCAATAAGGAAATGACTTTGAAAGAAGAGAAAAAAAAACAATAAAATGGACACGAGATGATACGCACATGAATTACCAGAACCGGACATTGGACCGAAGATATTTTCTCGATATTCTGCAATGGCAAAAACAAATTAGAACAGAAGTAATGTCCAAGATCTGGTAAAAAGGAGGTAACGAGAATATAAACTTTGTTCGAAAACCTTGTAAATATCAAACCAGTAAGTTCGCTTGACAGGGTACATGACTCTAAGACCGGATGCAATTGCACTGTGAAGAACAACCGCTCTGAGGTTTGGTAACCGAGAAGCCAACTCTAAAGTTGGTCCACTTCCTACAGATTGTCCATATAAGATAACATCTTGCTCTTTGACACCATATTTCTCCTCCAAACATCTATACACTGCTTCTATATCGTAATACGTGTTTTGCTCGCTAGGCTGTTGGAGTAAACCAAAGTAAAAACATAATTCTTGAGGAATCATATAGATCAACACAAACCAAATTGTCCATTTCAATAAACTAATGAACCATACCTTCCCTGTAGACCTCCCGTAGCCCGAATAATCATACCTGAATCGTTACATAGTCACATGAACAAATCAAGATTCATACAATGGATCTCTCACTTATAACCGATGTAAAAAGTCAGATCTAGTTACTCATGATTCTCTAAAATTTTCTAACCGAGAAGACAAAAACTTGTCCTAATCTGTGAGAGGAGCAGCTTCTACTTGAACAAAATTCAATGCAAAAGCAACAAAAAGAGTAATTTACCCAATCAAGTTAACGCGAAGATGGAGGCTGAGCTCGGAGAAGAGGTCGAACATCTGGCCGAGATCGGCGGCGTTGCCGTGAGAATAGAGAAGAGTGAGTGAGGCTGTAGGGTTTTTAATATACGCCGCAACCACCTGATTCCCTCTCTTGGTCTTGAGCCTCAACACTTGAACGTTATCCTTCACGTTCTCAACCCCCGTCAGCCTCAGCTTTCCAGTCACAACCTCAACGCCGTACGAAGGCGGATTTGGCGGGAAGAAGGCGAACTTAGCAGCCATTGATGACGTCACCGCCCCCATCCTCTGAAGCTACTAGACCCAGATACGAGGAGAAATTTACAAACTTTTCTCTGTTTTGAATCCGCTCCACATAGATTTGCAGGAAGAAGGAAACCCAATTATACAAAAGATAAATAAAATACAAAATTTCAAACTTTCGATCTAAAGTGAAAGAGTAGAAGACATGAAAAGGGGAATTTGGAAAAGTGGATGATGAGATAGTGAGAAAATAAGGGAAAACGACGGGGGAAATTGGAAAGAGAGGATTTAGGGTTGAATCTGGAGAAAAAGGAAAGATTGATAAATGCAGTTTTCATGGGGATGTGGAGCAAGAGGAAAACCCGGCGATACGGAGGAGGAAA